CAGGGATGAAGCTCCCACAACTTCCGAAGGCAACTTCTCTTCCATGGGTTGATGGTTCTTCCTGTCAGAAAATTCCCCCTTATTTCCAGGTTGAATCTCTCCTTTCTCAGTTTCCATCCATTCTTCCTTCTTTGGCCTTTGGGTGCCTTGGAGAATAGCTTGACCCCCCTCCTCCTCTCTGTGGCAGCCCCTCAAATCTCCCCTTGTCCTTCTCTTCCCCAGACTAGCCACGCCCAGTTCCTTCAACCGTTCATGTTTTAGCCTCCAGGTCCCTAATCATCTTCGTTGCTCTTCCCTGCACTATTTCTAGAGTCTCAACATCTTTTTTATATAGTGACTACCAAAACTGGATCCAATATTCCAAGTGTGGCCTTAACCAAGCCATTATAGAGTTGTATTACTACCTCACTTGATCTTGATCGTATCCCTCTGGATATGGAATTAAGAGAACCACCACTTTTCGTCTGTAAAACTGCAAGCCCCTACGCTGGATATTGGTTGTTTTCCGGGTGCTATAGAAATCAAGCAAATCAATAAATAAATACAGGGAGTAACCTGTACATTTACATTTTTCTTTCTCCAGGCCCTAGACAACGACGTGAAGGTCTTCCTTACGGAAGTGGCCGGACGAACGCCAGCGACCCAAGTCAATGAGAATACCTGTAGTATCTGTGTCAAGGGCTATTTTGAGGAAGAACTCAAGACGTGGTTGATGGACAAAGGCTTTTAAATAAAGGATAGCAGATGTGGCGAGATCTGTCCCGGTGCGAAGATGCACTTGGGAGACTTGTGTCTTACCCAATGGGTAATTCTGGCTTAGTCTAGAATTACCCATTGGAGGTGATGGCGTACATTCTCAGGAGGCAACTGGGCTTTGTTTTTCTTTGAAGATGTTTCCCTTCTCATCCAAGAAGCTTCTTCAGCTCTGCCGGGATGGCGGTGAATGGAAGGATTTATCCTCCTTGCAGACAGCTGGCCATTTGCATCCTTTTACAGACTCATTGAGGCCACCAGGAGGTTTATCTGTGTCCTCAGGGTCACCTGGGTAAATGGGTGTGGAGTCTTCTCACAAGGTCCAGTTGGTTTTTCTTAAATTGATTGCATTAAAGGTATCCTCTACTTACGACCACAATTGAGACTAATTTTTGTCACTAAGTGAGTTTCTCCCCGTTTATGACCTTTCTTGCTACAATCAGTAAGCGAATCAAAGCAGTTAAGTGAGAAATAAGGTTACGTGAATCCCCATCGATTTTGCTCGTGGGAAGATTGCAAAAGATCACATGACCCGGGGACACCGCAACCGTTATAAATATGTACTAGCTAGCTGCCATGCGACCATGGAGATGCTGCAACAGTCGTAAAAGTGAAAAATGGTCACTTTTTTCAGTGCTGTTTTAACTTATATTGAACTATTGGTAAGTAGAGAAGTACCTGACCTGTAATTCCTTCCAGGACACAGGTATCAAACTTGCCTCATCACGTTGTCATGTGACGTATCACAGCGCTGGGGTGGGCGTGGCCTGTGCATGCCTCATCCACCCTGCGGGTTGCCACTATGATTTCCTCTTGGTCTCCCAGATAGGAATTAGAGCTAGGTGTGGTCGACTATTAATAAAGACAGATCTTTCCTTAAGCCAGTGTCAAATTTGGCAACTTTTAAGATGGGTGGACTTCAACTCCCAGAATCCTCCAGCCAGCATGAAGTGGAGGTCCACCCCCCCTTAAACCACGCTGGCTGGGGAATTCTGGGGGAGTTGAAGTCCACCCATCTTAAAAGTTGAGAGAAAAAAAACCACTACCTTAAAGCAATCTTGCTCTGAATAAGACAGGAGGAGACAGGAACAATTCCAGTTTATTTACAGCTGCAAAAAAATGTGAAAATGTACAGAGGGAACCCTTTTACAAAATACAATAAAATTAAAAAATGCTGGTTCCGAGGCCTTGATTTAAAACGAAATGAAGGTTGCACTCAAGGGAAAGGATGCTGCGTCACAACAACCTGTGGTTGCGCGTCTTCAGGATCAACTTTGCTGGAGCTCTAAATTCTTTTCGGCTCTGGAAGGAAGAAATCTTGGGCTTTTTTACACAGGATCTCTGGATGGCAATGTGTTTCTCTCCAGTTTCAGAAATTTAGCGGGGAAAATGATAAATCGATACAAAAAGGGCCAGGTTTTTCTAAAGCTACCATCCAGGCTCTCCACCGCTGTCACGGAAGAGGTGTCAATCAAGTCATTTCCTCCCGTTGAGAAGTTGAGCAAAGACACAGCCACAGCTGCCCATCAATGCCACAGACACCAGCGTCTCCTGTCAGGTGGTTTTTAGGTCTGTTGGTAATACTGATTGTAGTTCCACGCGTTCTGGTATCCATAGTTACTGTAATTCTGCAGTAGCAACAGGGGAGGCGAAAAAGCAATTATGCTAAGCGAAGGAAGGTGGATTGCAAAAATGTTATGTTATATAGCTTGTAAGATGCCCAGAGTTGTTAGATAACGAGACGGGGCAGCAAATAAAATTTATAAATAAACTAGCCAATAACCCGGCATTGTCTGGGTATTTATTTATAGGGGGGAAGTGTCCGGATCAAACGTAATTTCTAATGTTGGATTTTCCCCCTTACCAGAGGGAGCCGCCTTGTGGAGTACTGTGAAGCTGTTACCATGGCAACTCCACTGCACTGTACAGTAGAAGCCATTTTATGGCACAACAGGCTGCATCTTAACAGAACACAGACCCCGAGGGGTGTTAGGGGTGTCTTACCCCCACAGTATTTTTCACCAGAGAGTAAGTCATCTGTGTACCAAGTTTGGTTGGAATTGCCAGGCGTTCCAGAGTTATGTGAGCTGGAATGACCACAGGTCCTCTACCTTTAGCAGCATTTCATTCCACCCTTTTAGCCAATTTAGCAATAGCACCTAAGACTTTTATACTGTACCTTTGCAAAGCACTTAGTAAAGCTATAAGCGGTTTACAGTGTCAGCATATTTGCTCCCAACAATCTGGGTCCTCATTTTACCAACCTCGGAAAGACGGAAGGCTGAGTCAACTCTGAAGCTGTCAGGATCAAACTGCTGGCAGGGGGCAGCCTGCAATGCTGCATTCTAACCACTGTGCCACCATGGCACGCCCTTCTTTCCCAACTACCAGTAGCATTTAAATTTATATCCTGCTTCACAGTGCTTTATAGCCCCCTGTAAGCGGTTTACAGAGTCAACAATCTGGGTCCTCATTTTACCGACTTCAGAAGGATGGAAGGCCAAGGATCGAACTCATGGCTGTGGGCAGAATTAGCCTGCAATCCTGCATTCTAATCACTACAGCAACCCGTCTCTTGCAAGTCTTATAAGGTTGTAACTCAAGGACTACCTGTAAAGTCTATTCACACTGACCAGAGCACCGTTTTAAAAACCAAATACCGTATTTTTCAGAGTATAAGATGCACCTTTCCCCCCTAAAAGGGAATGAAAAATTGGGTGCATCTTATACACTGAATGTAACCCCACCCACCATCCCCCACCCTTTGGCCTCTGCCTCCCAGCAATTTTTCCTCTTGGCAGCAACGGGGGCTTACGGAGGCTTCAATAAGCTATAGTCGGGATGGCAAACCTGTGGCACCCGTGCCACAGATTGCACACAGAGCCATTTGTAAGGGTATGCGAGGCGTTGCCCTGTCAGCCAGCACGCATGCATGCGCTAGCCAGCTGAGTTCAGCCTTTTTAAAAGCCATTTTTCACCCTCCCCAGGCTCCAGAGCCTTTATAAGTGCCTGGGAGGGCGAAAAGAGCCTCCCCCGCCCCCTCAGGAGGCTTCAGGAACTTCCCTGAAGCCTCTGGAGCGCCAAAAAACCGGCCCTAAAGGCAAACCCGGAAGTTCATGAATGGACTTCTGGTTTGCTCATAGGGTTAGTTTAAGTCCTCTGGGGTAGGCTGTTTTTGCCCTCCCCAGGCTCCTATAAAGCCTCTGGAACCGGGGGGGGGGGGGGGGGGGGGAGGGGGGGAGAAGAGGGACATTGCATTATGGGTGTGGCATGCCCACACACAACCCCCCCTGCACCCCCCCCCCCCGTTATGGCACATGAGCCAAAGAAGGTTCACCATCAATCCCTGCAGCCTCAAACAGCTGATGATCAGGAGAAATTTGAAAGTGAAACTTGCTGTTTGCTCCATGAGGCAAATTGCTGGGAGGCAGAAGCAGATCTTTTCTTCTGCTAATCAGGCTGTTTGCTGCAAGGAGGTAAATCAGTAACTATAAACGCCTATAGAATGTTCAAATTATTAGGCTTATTTTTTAAAAGACTGCTTTATTATTATTCTAGACAGTTTAACAAAATGAAGAAGCTTTTTAAAATCAATGCTCGATCTGAAGAGTCCCTGTGCTATTGTTTTAAAAGAGTGCTATTCTTTCAAATAGCAGAGAATAACCTATACTTCCAGAAAGCACATCAACTTTAACAGCATCTGTACAGGTATAGTCTGAAATATAACACTACAAACAGTGTATATTGTCCGTACTGCTTGTTGCAAGGAGGCAAAGGGAGATATTTTTCCCTTGTTTTCCTCCACAAAATCTAGGTGCATCTTATACTTTGGAGCATCTTATACGCTGAAAAATACAGTATTATTCCAGCTCTGTGGCACAATTTGATCTCTATTGATATAGATTGCACAGATCATAGGGTTCGGAGTTACACTTAAAGAGTCAATCCAGATCTCCTGCAACCAATGCCCCGAGAACCCCTGGCACAGCTGGGCCTAACACGCCCTCCCAATATGGCGGCTGTGCTTTCTGGGAATCATAGTCCCAAGATCACCGGCCGGGGAGCGGGGCAGGGACAGATACTTCACAATCTGATGCCAATTGTCTTGGGCAACTCACCTGGTACCACGTGTTATAGTTGTAATTGCCCCCTGAGCCGGTATCCGTCGCCATCAAGGGTGTGATGCCCGTTGTCGCCATGGCTACGTTGCCACCCCCCATGGCCGCATCTTCGAGTCTCAACCTTTTGTCATCGGATTCATCGGTGCTGCTTGGGGATTCCGAAGAGAAACAATGTCAGCTGGCCACCTTTGGCTCTGTTGCAACACCAGGGCATCCGTAGGGATTGTAGCTTCCTCAGGAAAATGTACCCAGGCCCTGTTGTGGGGTCTGCCCCATAGTGGAGCCCCCTTCCCATAGAAAACCTGAGCCTGCTGGCCTTTTGGAAGGCTGATGGGTGCCGGCTCAGGATGCTACTGGAACCCAATTTGTGAGTCTGCCCTCTGCTGATGTGGAGTTGGTCTGTTTCATTGCTTAAGGGAAAGGCTCCCCTCGCAGGTATGTGCTAGTCGTTCCTGACTCAAGGGGGCGCTGCTCATCTCTGTTTCAAAGCCCAAGAGCCAGCGCTGTCCGAAGACGTCTCCATGGTCAAGTGGCCGGCAAGACTCAACGCTGAAGGCACACAGAACGTTGTTACCTTCCCACCAATTTCCCACTTATTTTTCTACTTGCATTTTTTATATGCTTTCGAACTGCTAAGTTGGCAGAAGCTGGGACAAGGAATGGGAGCTCACTCTGTTACGCAACTCTGGGGATTCATACCACCAAACTGCCGACCTTTCTGATTAACAAGCTGAGGGTCTTAGCCATTGAGCCACCACGTCCCTCAGATAGATAGAAAATCTATATATTCTCTCTCTCCCATCTACCTATCTCTCTCTACATCCATATTTATCTATCTGTCTGTCTCTCTCTCTTCTATCTACTTACCTATCTATCTGTATCTCTATCTGTGTATCTTCTTTCTATCTATCTATCTATCTATCTATCTATCTATCTATCTATCTATCTATCTATCTATCTCTTGTCTCTTTTCTATCTACTTACCTATCTATCTGTATCTCTATCTGTGTATCTTCTTTCTATCTATCTATCTATCTATCTATCTATCTATCTATCTATCTATCTATCTATCT